CACGATCAGCAGGTTCGGAGCTCTCAAAGAGCTTTCCCCAACATGGGAGGAAGCCCTTTGAAAACTCCAAAGGCAGGGAGGAAGGGCAGGAAATTTGAATTTTCCGCCCTTTCTCCCTGCCTTTTGGGATCGTAACCCAATCCGCATTCGCAAGTAGGTGCTACAACTTGCGATGAGATCGGGTTCGTAACCTGAAATATTCGCAACTAGGGCCATTCGTAAGTGGAGGGCCCACTGTATCTCTTTTTGTAGGCTCAGGGAGCAGGTTGATTCTAACCTACTTTTAACTAAAGCAAAGCCAGTTCAATTCTCTTGGTATACAAATGGACTATTGTATAGACTAGGGATCCCCAACCCCCGGTCCGTGGCCCAGTGCTGGTCTGTGGCCTCCTGGAACTGGGCCGCGGAGACAGATCTACGCACGCACGCATGGTGGGCATGGTGCTCTTGTGGAGGGGCATGGTGCACAACATGTCCCTCGGCAAGCATGACGCACCCCTCTGTAAGCATGACACACCCCTCTGCAAGCGTGACACACCCACCCACAAGCATGACACACCCCTCCACAGGCATGACATGCCCACCCACGGGTGTGACATGCCCACCCACGGGTTTGACACACCCACCCACAAGGGCGGGGGAGCTCCCGCCCCCCCCCGCACACAGAGCCTGCACCCCCCAACCAGTCTGTGGTCCCAAAAAGGTTGGGGACTGCTGGTATAGACTGTCAGCTCAAGATTCTAGATTGGACATAGCCCCAAGAAGACAATTGGTGGTTCCTCAAGTTTATAGAGAAAGAATACTGGAGTATGCACATGGTTCTATTTTGTTCAGGCCACTTGGGAAGTAAGAAAACCTTACAGAGGATTACTGCTCATTTTTATTGGCCTAATATGTCTAAGAGTGTGAGAAATCTTTGTTTGAGTTTTCCTGTTTGTCAGAGAGTGGGACATGCAACAGACACTATTAAAGCAGAAATGCCAACTATTCCTTTGATTAACACACTTTTCCATACTCTGCATATGGACATTGTTGGTCCTCTACCACCTAATAAGACTGGGGGAAAATACGTTGCTTGTTTCATTTGATCTGCAAGTGAATGGGTGGAAGCAGTTCCTTTGTCTCCCTTCTCAGCTACCCAAGTTGCAAAAGCTTCTTTGGAAGTGGTTTCTAGAATTGGCTTACCCTGTTTTAATATCAGATTAAGCTAGAAGTTTTCATTCAGAGTTGATGAAGAAAATTTGTGAACTGGGGGAATTATCCAGCAAAATTTCAGTATAGACTCTCACTTACAATCACATGGCTTGGTAGAAAGGCCACAGCAATCCTTACAGAAGATTATTAAGGCCTATGCATTGGAGCATGGATGTTCTTGGTCTGAGGCTTTGCCATATGTTTTATGTGCTTATGGAAGTGCTCCCCAAGCTAGTATTGGCAGGTTCTCTCCAAGTGAGATAATTTTCAGCAAAAGTTTAAGAGGTCCTCTTGATCTTTTATGGGAGGACTGAGAAGGCGTAATTCAAACTTCTTTGCCAGTAGCACAGTATGTCTATGAACTGCAAAGGAGACTTAGACAGATTCAAAGTATAGCTAAAGAAAACATTGAATCTGTTGAAAAGCAACAAAAGTTCTATCATGCTAAAGTTAGGCACAAAACGTTCAATGTTGAGGACCCTATATTGGTTTTGAACCCCCTGAAAACTGGTAAACTTCAGATTAACTGGCAAGGACCAGGAACAGTTATTCAGCTACTGGAAAATGTTAATTATGTGGTCCAAATATCTGGCAGAGAAATGAAGTCTCAAGTTTATCATGCTGTAACGTGGCTGAGCCACTCTGAGGCCACCTCCTACTCAGGCCTCTCAGAATGCCCACCACGCCACTAAACACTCTTGCTGCCACCAACCTATCCTTTAAATCACAAGGACTAAGGTTTCTCTTAAACAAAAATGGTTTATTGATTACAAGAAATAAAATAAATAAATCACAGGAAGTTAATCTCGATGGTAAATCACTGTTTCTTATTTAATCAAAACATAGACGATCCCTCACTGACTACACAGGCACACAGGCCTCTAAACAAGCTCTCCAGATCTGACTCACTCTCTAACTCTATCAATCTCTCAAACTGCCTTCTCAAACACCATACACACCCCTTTATATCCCAGCTCCTCCCCCTTTAGCACCACCTTCCATCCCCACATTGGCTGCTGTTCCACTGCCCAGCTGTGACAGACAGGTGAGGGCAGGGCTGAACGTTACACATGCTAACAGCCTTAAACGTTATATTGAAAGATCTGCTGTAGTACTGAAATACAATGCAGTCAAAGACTCAGAGGAAGATGGGATTGTTGATGTTTTGTCAGAATTTCAGAATGCTGGTGACTGGGAGGAAGTGTATTTTCACTCAGAGGTTCCTGAAACTCAAAAAGAGAGACTTTTAGAATTTATTCAACAGCACCAATCTGTATTTTCTAACAAGCCTGGTAGCACCTCTTTAATTCAGCACAAAATTGATACTAAGTACCATCCATGTATACACTCATCACCTTACAGGACTCATGCTGAGCAAATTGAAATGAAAATACAATTTATGCCCAAACTTGGCATAATTAGATCCAGCCAAAGTTCCTGGTCTAGTCCCATTGTCTTCCTGCCAAAAAAGACTCCTCAAGAAGAAATTCAGGATGAAATTAGATTTTGTGTGGACTTTGTTGTTGTTGTTGTTTAGTCATTAAGTCGTGTCCGACTCTTCATGACCACATAGACCAGAGCACGCCAGGCCCTACAGAAAAGTAAATACAGTGGTGCCTCGCTTAACGAGCGCACCGCATAACGATGAAATCGCAGAGCGGTCCGTTTTTTCGGATCTCTAATGCGATCGCTTAACGTTTTTTGAATAGGGCTAAATTCGCTTTGCGAAGACCGGTAAGCGTTTTGCTTACCGATCTTCGCAAAACGAAGCCCGACGATCAGCTGTTCGGCTGCCAAAATGGCCGCCGGAAGCCCGGAAATGGCCCAAAATGGCCGCGCGCAGCGTTTTCGTGCCCTCGTTAAGCGAGGCGAGGGCGCAAAAATGGCTGCCGGCCATTACAAAGCTTCGCTGAACGGTGAGTATTTGGCCCATTTGGAACGCATTAAACGATCGTTTAATGCGTTTCAGTGGGTTTTTTTGATCCGTTCAACGATGCTTCAGCATAGCGAGGCACCACTGTACCTTGGGACAACTTGATAATTATCCAGACTGATGACTTGGTTCAAAAGTTGGCAAGTAGTCATTTTATCAGCATTCTAGATCTCACAAGAGGATTCTGGCAAATTGCCGTGAGTCCAGAAGATTGTGAAAAAAACTGCTTTTATGAGTCATTGTGGATTGTTTGAATTTTCATAAATGGTCTTTGCACAAAAAAATACGCCCGCTACATTTCCGCGTATAATGAACAAAATATTAGCTGGTTTACCTTTTGCTAAAGCTTATCTTGATTATCTAGCTATTTTTAGTTATGATTTTGATAGTCATTTAGCTCATCTTGAGATTGTGCTTCAGAAATTGAAGGAGGCTGGTTTGACTGTTAAAGCTTCAACGTGTCAGTGGGTAAATGGAAAAGTTACCTAGTTGGGCCATCTAGTGGGAAGTGGAGAAATAGCTCTGCAAGCTAAAGGTAAAAGTGTTCAAGAATGGCCTATTCCTGAAAATAAGAAACAAGATCAATCTTTTCTGGGTCTTGTGTCCTATTACTGAGCCTTCATACCAAATTTCAGCAGTATTGCTACTCCACTTACTGAATTAACCAGAAAGATAATGCCTGTTAAAGTTGTTTGGACCCCAGAGTGTCAAAAAGCCTTTGATAACCTAAAACTTAAGTTAGCTGAAGCACCTGTCTTAATGGCTCCAGATTTTCAGAAGTCTTTTGTGGTTCAAACTAATGCCTCAGAATTTGGTATTGGAGCAGTTTTACTTCAGGAAGCAAGTGGTGGAAGTTTGCATCCTATTTCCTATTTCAGCAGAAAGTTATTGCCTAGAGAAAAAGTTTATTCAATGCTGGAAAAGGAATGTTTATCAATCGTTTGGACTTTGAATGAACTGAGTTCTTTTCTGATTGGATTTTTTAAAAATTTGATTCAAACTGACCATTCAGCGCTCATAGTTTTGCAGAGAACCAAAGATTAAAAAACATCTTCTTCGTTGGAGTTTAAGCCTACAAGATTTTGATTTTGAGATTCAAAACATTCTAGAATTAAGAAATGTGGTGGCTTTGTCACGAAGCAGAGACTTTGATTTAAGTTACAGAAAGGAGGGTTAGGTGTGTGTAAATTGGAGGAGGAGAAGAAGGATAATAGGTTTAAAACCCTCTGTGATCAATTAGCTTTAGCAATGGTTACTTAGAACAGTGGTTCTTAACGTGGGCGATAATGCCCCCAGGGGGCGATTTCATTTTTCAGGGGGGCAGTAGAACGAAAAGGGGCAGTGTGGGG